ATTCTGGATAAGATTGTTCCTAATACAGACAGTCCCTGATGATGTCGGATACTGTGAGAGGTTTGTTCCAGCTACAGACTAACCCTGATAATGTCGGATTCTGTGAGAGGTTTATTCCAGCTACATACAGTCCCTGATGATGCCGGATTCTGTGAGAGGTTTATTCCAGCTACAGACAGTCCCTGATGATGTCGGATTCTGTGAGAGGTTTATTCCTGATACAGACAGTCCCTGGTGATGTCGGATTCTGTGAGAGGTTTATTCCTGCTACAGACGGTCCCTGATGATGTCGGATTCTGTGAGAGGTTTGTTCCAGCTACAGACTAACCCTGATAATGTCGGATTCTGTGAGAGGTTTATTCCAGACACAGACAGTCCCTGGTGATGTCGGATTCTGTGAGAGGTTTATTCCTGCTACAGACGGTCCCTGATGATGTCGGATTCTGTGAGAGGTTTGTTCCAGCTACAGACTAACCCTGATAATGTCGGATTCTGTGAGAGGTTTATTCCAGACACAGACAGTCCCTGATGATGTCAGATTCTGTGAGAGGTTTATTCCAGCTACAGACAGTCCCTGATGATGTCGGATTCTGTGAGAGGTTTATTCCTGCTACAGACTAACCCTGATAATGTCGGATTCTGTGAGAGGTTTATTCCAGCTACAGACAGTCCCTGATGATGTCGGATTCTGTGAGAGGTTTGTTCCAGCTACAGACTAACCCTGATAATGTCGGATTCTGTGAGAGGTTTATTCCAGACACAGACAGTCCCTGATGATGTCGGATTCTGTGAGAGGTTTATTCCTGCTACAGACGGTCCCTGATGATGTCGGATTCTGTGAGAGGTTTGTTCCAGCTACAGACTAACCCTGATAATGTCGGATTCTGTGAGAGGTTTATTCCAGACACAGACAGTCCCTGATGATGTCGGATTCTGTGAGAGGTTTATTCCTGCTACAGACGGTCCCTGATGATGTCGGATTCTGTGAGAGGTTTATTCCTGCTACAGACAGTCCCTGATGATGTCGGATTCTGTGAGAGGTTTATTCCTGCTACAGACAGTCCCTGATGATGTCGGATTCTGTGAGAGGTTTATTCCTGCTACAGACGGTCCCTGATGATGTCGGATTCTGTGAGAGGTTTGTTCCAGCTACAGACAGTCCCTGATGATGTCGGATTCTGTGAGAGGTTTATTCCAGATGCAGACAGTCCCTGATGATGTCGGATTCTGTGAGAGGTTTATTCCAGATACAGACAGTCCCTGATGATGTCGGATTCTGTGAGAGGTTTATTCCAGATACAGAGAGTCCCTGATGATGTCGGATTCTGTGAGAGGTTTATTCCAGCTACAGACAGTCCCTGATGATGTCGGATTCTGTGAGAGGTTTATTCCAGATACACACAGTCCCTGATGATGTCGGATTCTGTGAGAGGTTTATTCTAGCAACAGACAGTCCCTGATGATGTCGGATTCTGTGAGAGGTTTATTATCTGATACAGACAGTCCCTGATGATGCCGGATTCTGTGAGAGGTTTATTCCAGATACAGACTAACCCTGATGATGTCGGATGCTGGATAGGGTTCTGCCTGATACAGGCAGACCATTTAGTTCCGGATTCTGGATAAGTTTTTTCCTGATAGAGACAGGCGTTGATGATGTCGGATTTTTGGTCGGTTTGTCTGTTACAATGGGTTGGTACAAAAGTGGACATCACGTTGTTAGGTTGGTAAGTTAGATGCCAACCCACATTTCACTTTTCGCTGTAATGAATGAATACTGGATCTGCTTTTCTTCCTGGAATCTCTACTTCCTATTGTTTGTCTATTATTTAATAAACACTGAAATGATTTCGGGAGGCATTCGCGGACAATTTAAATATCAGCTGGATTAGCGCAATTCAATTAAAACGCGCGAGTGCTTCATGTGGAATCTGCCTTTATCCAGTTGGCATTCATATCACCAATGAACACCATCTAAAAGGATTTTAATGTTTTTATTTATAATTTTCAATTTTGATTGTGAATGAAGAAGCCTCATTACTTACCATGTTCCTACGCCATTGGCAGTTCATGGGCTGGTAATACACAAAGGCTTTCGGAGAGATCACACTATAGTGTGTTACCATGGTCAATGATATATCTAAAGGATGTATATATGGGTCAGTGTAAACAGTAAAGTTATTGGTAATTGTACAACGTACAAAGTAATCAGTAGATTAGCTGATACACATCATAGTTAACACTATACAGTTTAATTCATTAAGTTAATCATAAAAAATATCACAGTAAAAATGTTCCCTGTAATTCAGAAATGCTACGTTTAAACTCCCTCGTACTCTCGTTAAGAAAACTGATCAGTGTTAAATGCCAATTTGATATACGTTCAGTGTATTAGCTTTTTTGGATTCTTCAGGAGTTTTGTTTTTCATCAATGTGTTTTTGTTACAAAAAAATGTTTCTCGTGACTTCCTTGAAATACCATTTATCTTAATGATGTTCATCGGTACTAATTCTACCTCAAATATAATATCAAATCAGAATGTGCAAGATATATAGATATCATTTTTGTGTATTTGAATGTCAAAATGTCTAACCAAAATATAGAAATACAATTTTAAATTTAATTTTTTGTTTTCTTTCTTTCAGATACATCATCATCATCATCATCATCATCATCATCATCATCATCATCATCATCATCATCATCATCATCATCATCATCATATCATCATCATCATCATCATCATCATCATCATCTCTAATTATAACCAAATATACAATAAGAATTGTTTGCCACACGTCATAGTCAAGTATGTAACGCATGCAGGACAAATTGACAACATAGCAAGGGAGATAACTCCCAGTCTTACACACAATTTAACAAAATCCGAACACCGACAACTACGCATTAAAATCCTTCTGGGATTGAGGTACGCAATGATATTTAGTGATAAATATACATCAAATCTGTAGCAAGTGATTCTATTATAATAAACAAACATGATAAGGAAAGAAAATAAGACATGACAAATTTCTACGGAGAGCGCAAATAACAGAATAAACAAGAATCTTAGACCGTGGACTTATTCTATCGAAATATACCGGACTAGGATTTGTCGGCCTAATCGTGCGAATGCCAATCTGATTGCTAAATACAAAAAGCCAGATCAGACACAAATGTTTTGAATTTTAGGAAGTAATACTGAAAGATTTATGTATATATTGAAATAATAAAAGTATGTCTTGAATTTTGGAATAATAACATTAGTGAGCTGAAAACAGGAACAAAGCAAGTTGATTTCATTTACTATACCACATGTCATACAGAAATCAGTTAACATGTAATATAACAGGTAATACACGTGTATTCCAGTTCATCTGGTAAATATTTTATATTTGTGCTATCATTAATTCTAGTATAATGTATTTGGATTAACTATGTACTTACTTATATACAGAGACTATGTGTAAAATTTGGTAAAGTAGCGTTAATGTATGCAGGGGCGTAGCAAGCCCAGCAGAAATGTGTAAGCCCAGGCGAGGGGTCATGAATTTCATGATTTGAAAGATGTTTTCTGAGACAGTTTTTTAAAATTATTTAACAACAAAATTCAACCCCTGATATTTATTTTCAACCTTAATTTTGTAATTTTGTCCGACATACTCTATGCACGGATTTTTTCATGTGTAAGCCCGGGCTTTTTCTTTCTATGGAAGCTACGCCCCTGGCATGTGGATGTTTCCTTACAAAGAATGTTTCCCGCTGTATTCCATTATCATAAAAATTCTGTTATGACCACCCTCTTCGTACATTTTATTGGTTTCTTTCAGTAAATGTTTCTCTTTATATTGCTTATAGACATTTTTATGTGACGTCACCTCCGCAAAACCCTGGGATCATCATTCTAATTAATTAGTCTTGTTCCGTTTAATTTCCTCAAATAAAATAAATGTTTTCAGAGGTTGTACTGATGTAAAAAGTACATATATATATCTGTAATCGATTATATATCTACTGATTTTTTTTCAAAACTTAAAAAATAGAGCTGCTGCTTATCATAATCTATTTTCCATTTTCACTGAATTTCAGATGATGTTGAGATCTACGTTGAAAGGAAAAAAGCCAACGACATGGTTAGTTTTCCCAGTAAATATCAATGTCCTGTTTCAATACATCAAATTCGAAATCTCCGTTTTCTCAAACTACTAATTTTCTTGATCGTCTGTCACGTTTCATCAACTGCTCCTACAAAATTATCACAGGCGAAGTGTTTAGGATACTAACTCTCAGGTATTTCGTTCGCCCCCTTTACTTGTTATAGTACAGCATACAAGTCTTTATCCCCTAGAAACATTGTTACATGCCCCTGTGCTGATAATAAGTCACGTGGGTCCCCACATTGAGGAGGATGTAAGTACCGTCATCATGAAGCCTCTTTCCTGCATCTTTTAACAGCTACAGTGTCGGTTGATATGGACCTATCTACATTTTGTACATAGATTTTCAGTAAATACTATAGTTTTCCTAATTTTTATACATTATCCTAGCGGTAGCCACTCAATGGGGCTGTATGTGAGCTGCTTCTTTCAACTTTTCATGAAAAATGAAACAAAGTTGATAATATGATTCGATTTCAAAAGTGTAAAAATATTATAAAGCACAATTAATTTCCTAGTTAGAATTACTTATATATATATTATATATTGACACGCAAAAGAAACTCAACCTATATGAAATATCAACATTTTTTAAAATATGAATAAACTTTGCTAGCCTTTTTGACTAAAATGATACCACGCACGTTTCCGAACAATTCACGGTTGACTGAACTCTGTCACACTACCTGTTGTCGCACGCGCGATACACGGCCATTTACCCCGATTTGCACGTGCACGCGTACACGTGGCAGCACTTCGTGAGTATCAGACCTGTTTGTTATCCTTCAGGTATTTGGTAAGAATTATCCACTGTTGATTAACATTTTTGTTGCGCAAACAAGATGCCTCGGCTAGCCAATGATGAACGTAACAGAGCAGTGCAGTTACTATTGGGTGGAAACACCCAAAATGCTGTGGCAAGGGTACTGAATGTCCATAAAAGCACTGTTAGTCTACTATACGCCCGCCTTAGAACTACTGGTACAACTGCTGACCTCCCTAGAACTGGCCGACCGAAGGTAACGACACCACGCCAGGACCGTTTCATGAGGTTGCAGCATCTGCGCAACCGCTTCCGAACTGCACAGAAAATCGCAAACGAGACACCAGGGACACATCATCCGAGAATAAGTCATGATACTGTGCTGAGGCGTTTGCGATCATACGGTATAAAACCTCAACGCGTTGCAGTGGGATTGCCACTTAACCGTCGACGACGTGACATCAGGCTTCAGTGGTTGCGACAACACCGTCCAAATGTATTTCCTATGCAAAGATGGCGCCGTGTTCTCTTCTCTGACGAGTCCAGATTTACGTTTTATCGCTCTGATGGACGTTGACGTGTTTTCAGACGTCGTGGTGAACGATACACCGACGACTGCATGTTGGAACGTGACAGATTTGGTGGTGGTAGCGTAATGGTATGGGGCGGTATTTGCGGTGGTCACAAAACCCCTTTAGTGGTCATTGAAGACAATTTGACCGCTCAGCGGTACAAAGACACTGTCCTGCAACCTGTCGCGGTCCCTTTTGTTCGCCAGCATAACTTAATTTTTCAACAAGACAATGCCAGATGTCACGTAGCGCGACTTGCAATGGATTTTCTGCGCCAAAACAATGTGCAAACACTACCTTGGCCCCCTTACAGTCCCGATCTGTCACTAATAGAGCATGTCTGGGACTTGCTAGATCGACGCATTCGAACGCGCCCAAATCCATCAGAGACTAACCCGCTTTGCGTCAAGCACTTCTAGAAGAGTGGCAGAACATCCCTGTGGCACAAATAAACCGCTTAGTAAATTCTATGCATCGCATGATTCAACAAATGCAAACGGCGGGCATACTCGTTATTTTTTACAGAATGGATGAGGGCAAAATGAGAAATCGACAGTGTTATTCCAAAGAATACATTTAAATCTTGTATCAGGTGTCAAATTTAAATGACAAATTTCAATGAAGTAATGAAATTCTTGCATAAAATCACATGTTACGTTTCTTTTGCGTGTCAGTATAGATATTTATATAGTGGTCTGCCATTCATCTTCGGACTAGTTTCTACCTCGGATAGTCATACAGGTGGACATTAAGGTCAAACAGCTTGACATTATCAATTACGTGTCCTTTCAGAGAGACAGGACCAAAGTACCATGTATAACTACAAAAAGTCTGCAATGTTTAACTTTGTTGATTCGTGTCTTTTTGATGGTAAGTTTTCAGACTGTAAAGACAGATAAATGTGGCGTGTTTTGTGTACAGTCTTTAAGGGTAAGTCCAAGAGCTTCACCGTAACCTGCCTCATTTTAATTCAGTCGAATAGTACTACGGTTCTGAATATACTCGACGTTCTAATTCAGAAATATGAGTCTAGTGCACTTCTCTTTCTAGATTTTGACACTTAGCTTTATCTCAGTCGTCTCCTAGGTTCAAAGATTTGGCCCTTAGCATCACTGACGCGTCCTGGAAAGACCAAACAGCTGTATGATGCAGTTTAATTCATTATCTGATGCTACTGTATATAATTTAAAGTTTGTATTGAAAGGTCATTGAAGGACGAAACAGCTGCATGATGTAACATCACTGACGATCCATAGAAGGACGAAATAGTTGTATGATACAGTTAAATTCATCACCTAGTTCCACAGTATCGTGTTCAATTGTATGTATCTGACACAATCTTTTAAATCTAACCTAAATGTAACACAATCTAGTTATTTTTAGCGCTGCACCGAACAAAGGATGTGCTCTGTTTGTAATCTGGGTTATACTTATTCTAAATACACAAAACCAGACTCTGATTGAAATTGAAATATGCCATTTATCAAAAATAATAAATGACGACAAAAATATGACAATTGCAATTTCCTGTTCATTAACAGTACAGTAATCAACTGTACTTAATGTTATCCAATCAGAGATATACTAAAAAAATATACCCAGGATTACAAAGATGGGGATCAAATTACGCCATCATATAGCCAAGCAATTCCATTAATGCTGGAATAAATTACTAGCTATATCCATTTATAAAATTCTTGTAAGAAGGAAAGCGCATTCGCACACTTCAGATTTGTAGATTTGTGTGCGTTTACACTTAGATAGAGCATTACAATAATATATGTTTATTTTTGTCTGTCTGTTTGTTTATCTGTCTGTAATACATCCGTCTACGTTTTCTAAAATAATAACATACTGTTTATTAGTATAAAATATTAAACACATATAATACAACAAAATGTATACTGACCCCGACGTGATTTGAACACGCAACCTTCTGATCTGGAGTCAGACGCGCTACCGTTGCGCCACGGAGTCCATATGGAATAATCACCATTATCTAAACGACTAATGCGATCACGAGAAGAACGTGGTATCGATTAGCACGTGCGAGTTCTCATGCAAACAAGCCGTCCCTGCCGATTTAAACCGGTTTGGCATACACTTTTTTTTTTATATCAATCTCAAACCATATGTTTTGAAATGAAGTTTTGTAATGAAAATATATCAGCCCAGGTATATGTTGTGAGAGTCAAGGATTTTACACAATTAAACATTCACTCCTACACTAGAGATAAATGATCGACAGGTTATACACAAGACTAGTTTTGAATGTCGACATTCTTGGAATTTTAGTCACGCACATCTAATGAAAAAACCGACACTAAAGACGGTACAAAAGGAAATTTGTTTAATTCTGCATTAAATGTTTAACCAAATGTTTTTTAATGTGAGTGAGATTGAGCTAGGGGTGTTCAAACAGTCCTTCACAGATGTGGGTGACATTGAGCTAGGGGTGTTCAAACAGCCCTTCAGAAATGTGGGTGACATTGAGCTAGGGGTGTTCAAGCAGTCCTTCAGAAATGTGGCTGACATTGAGCTAGGGGTGTTCAAACAGTCCTTCACAGATGTGGGTGACATTGAGCTAGGGGTGTTCAAACAGCCCTTCAGAAATGTGGGTGACATTGAGCTAGGGGTGTTCAAGCAGTCCTTCAGAAATGTGGGTGACATTGAGCTAGGGGTGTTCAATCAGTCCTTCACAGATGTGGGTGACATTGAGCTAGGGGTGTTCAAACAGTCCTTCACAGATGTGGGTGACATAGAGCTAGGAGTGTTCAAACAGTCTTTCACAGATGTGGGTGACATTGAGCTAGGGGTGTTCAAACAGTCCTTCACAGATGTGGGTGACATTGAGCTAGGGGTGTTAAAACAGCCCTTCAGAAATGTGGGTGATATTGAGCTAGGGGTTTTCAAGCAGTCTTTCAGAAATGTGGGTGACATTGAGCTAGGGGTGTTTAAACAGTCCTTCAGAAATGTGACTGACATTGAGCTAGGGGTGTTCAAACAGTCCTTCAGAGATGTGACTGACATTGAGCTAGGGGTGTTCAAACAGTCCTTCAGAAATGTGGGTGACACTGAGCTAGGGGTGTTCAAACAGTCCTTCAGAAATGTGGGTGACATTGAGCTAGGGGTGTTCAAACAGTCCTTCAGAAATGTGGATGACATTGAGCTAGGGGTGTTCAAACAGTCCTTCAGAAATGTGGATGACATTGAGCTAAGGGTGTTCAAATAGTCCTTCAGAAATGTGGGTGACACTGAGCTAGGGGTGTTCAAACAATCCTTCAGAAATGTGAACGACATTGAGTGAGGGATGTTCAAACAGTCCTTCAGAGATGTGACTGACATCAAGCTAGGAATGTCAAACAGTCCTTCAGAAATGTGACTGACATCAAGCTAAGGATTTCAAACAGTCCTTCAAAGTCGTGTGACTGACATTAAAGTAGGGAATTTTAGAAATAAAAAAAAATTCTTTGTCATCAAAAATGAACTGGACTGATAATCATTTTCTGAGAATAATGTCGTGGGCACGTGCTCTTTTTTTCTTCTTCTTCTTCTTCTTATCTTTTACAGGTTGTTTGCCTAGCTCGATGTCCTTGAAATACCGATGAACAACTGTGTAAGCACGTGAACATTGAAATGACATTGATAGTCATGTCATGGTATCAAGGTTATCAGAACAGATAAAAGTGCAGACAATCTTTTCATGCACACTCTTCTGAAAACTGACGTCAATTAGGTAAGCTGTCGGGAATCGGATCAAACTTTTTCAGCTAGAATTACTTGTATGCTGTAATGGTGAGGTATATTATAAGTAATTTAATTCAGGAAAATCCATTTTCCATGATAAAGAAATTTTAACAATCGTAGGTTTTAGTCCATACAATTCAACATTATTCGTTTATACTTATGTGAGTTGAGAAACTTGTCTTACGGCGCCACCAAAGAACCTGTATCGCTAGTTTATCGACCATTTTTTCCTGTTTTGACCTCAGCGACCACATGTTAAACAATAACAAGCTCTCTTGTTGTTTAAAAGCGTGGTGACGCTTCATTCTTCCGACTTGTTGAATATCTTATAATAACTTTATCGTATGCTTGTTGCAAAATTCATTTTAATGTTCAATACGGAAAAAGAAAACGTTCCTATGTAGAAGATGGCTTTTCAGGGTGAGTGTTGAGGTTAAGTGATAAAAAATGGAGCACTTTATAATCCAAATATATTTCTTTAACGCCATTGTACATTGTATGATACTTTTAAAGGTAATATAGGCCTGGATATATGGCTGACTGAGCAGCTAGTCGACCAAGAAGGAAATGGCGCATGTATTGAATCCTGTGAACATTAGGAATCCTGTTGGAAGCATGATAATCTAGTATTTAGTCTAGGATTTCGATGGGTTGTTTTAGCAAACCTAGATATTTTTGTCAGCACGGGATATTCCAGGGTCTGTTTGTAAATGTTCAGTGTTTATCTTAGATTTTAATCTTCGGAATGAAGGACCGAAAGGAATTAATCCGCCCTGAAATGTCTTCAGACGCAATATGCTATCGTTTCACCCACTTTTGGACAGAGTCCAACATCACTGTGTCTTGAAATTTTCAGTCCAATCTTTTGATATTTTGTAAATGTAAACCTCTGAGACTCGTAGTTAAATATTATCAGTACAATAATGAATTTATTTTCTGTCATCTGCATTCAGACCAACAGGTTTTTTGCACTGCTAACTAAATCAAAATAAATATAAATTTGATGATGGGACCCTGTGCAAACCTACTTCATAATTGTCATCATTTAGTATTTCTCTGTTTGATGATTGGTCTGGTGTATGTTTGGAAAATTTCATTTCTTCTAAAGATAAACGTAATGTTTGTTTTAAATGTTACAGCATAGCAAATTGTGAATATTATTTTGTTTAAAAAGATTAATATAATTTCTTTTCATTTCGAACATCAGAATAAATCTGAGGAAAGCCGATTGTTTTAGTACAACAGAATAATATTGGGTGTAAAACAAGAGTCGTATTTCTTCCAAGATCTCGGCTATTGATGTCACTGACGAAAACTAGAGAGAAAAAATGTCGTATGATGTCGTTAGATTTCATTTAACTTTTGCATCGAATTCTGAATTTTTCAAATGTGCTATTGTGTGTGTGCTTTACATTCTTCTAGGTGTTGTGCAGTTAAGGACATACACGACGGTAACAATGTTGGGTCTTCTGCTGGTTTTCTTGGGTATTGTCGGGTATGGAAATTAAACAATGTTTATATAGCACCATTTTAGCGTTGTCTTCATGCAAATTTTTACAATTATTTAGCAGTACAAGGTGAAAAAGTGTATCTGTATGTTAGAGTTGTTTCCCTTACTACAATCAGTCGCAGGTTCCTGACTAAGGTGATTTGATCATTTTAAATTATATTTTCAAGTATACGCGAAAATTATTTTAAAAAGTTATCACAACATTTGTAGTTTAAATATTTCGGATTTGTTATGTTTCGAGAAAACATTGTAACAACTGATAACTAATATTAAACCCTATATTTTCATTTGCTCTATTAAGCACGGTTTTACTTTACTTTCCTTTGGATTTCTTTGAAATGTACTATAGGTACGGAGCGCCGGCGACGACGACACTGAGTCCAGTGGATAAATTCAAGTCTATCGTGAACGCAGAGGTGGACGCACTCTGGAATAGCGTTGACCATGACAGTAGTGGGAATTTGGAGGAGTCAGATCTAGAAAACATATTCGACCAATATGATGACAATAGTAGGTGTCCTTCATTATAGCTAAAACGCCATACTACGCGCACATGTCGTGGTAAAATATATTTAACGGTCATGAGAATGTATAAATAGGAGCGAGGTAAAAATTTTAAAGCGTTCTTGATATTGCATATTTTGTATCGTGGGAAAATTTATAACGGTCATAATATGTATTAATCATATCGTGGTTAAACATATCTAATGGCCGTGATTTTTCACATTATCGTGGTAACATAAACCTGGCAGTAATGAGACTGTAGTTATTTTATCGTGGTAACATATACCTGACAGTCATGAGATTGTAATTATTTTATCGTGGTAACACATACCTGACAGTCATTAGATTGTAGTTATTTTATCGTGGTAACACATACCTGACAGTCATGAGACTGTAGTTATTTTATCGTGGTAACACATACCTGACAGTCATAAGACTGTAGTTATTTTATCGTGGTAACACATACCTGACAGTCATGAGATTGTAGTTATTTTATCGTGGTAACACATACCTGACAGTCATGCGACTGTAGTTATTTTATCGTGGTAACACATACCTGACAGTCATGAGATTGTAATTATTTTATCGTGGTAACACATACCTGACAGTCATGAGATTGTAGTTATTTTATCGTGGTAACACATACCTGACAGTCATGAGATTGTAATTATTTTATCGTGGTAACACATACCTGACAGTCATGAGATTGTAGTTATTTTATCGTGGTAACACATACCTGACAGTCATGAGATTGTAGTTATTTTATCGTGGTAACACATACCTGACAGTCATGCGACTGTAGTTATTTTATCGTGGTAACACATACCTGACAGTCATGAGACTGTAGTTATTTTATCGTGGTAACACATACCTGACAGTCATAAGACTGTAGTTATTTTATCGTGGTAACACATACCTGACAGTCATAAGACTGTAGTTATTTTATCGTGGTAACATATACCGGACAGTCATGAGATTGTAGTTATTTTATCGTGGTAACACATACCTGACAGTCATGCGACTGTAGTTATTTTATCGTGGTAACACATACCTGACAGTCATGAGACTGTAGTTATTTTATCGTGGTAACACATACCTGACAGTCATAAGACTGTAGTTATTTTATCGTGGTAACACATACCTGACAGTCATAAGACTGTAGTTATTTTATCGTGGTAACATATACCGGACAGTCATGAGATTGTAATTATTTTATCGTGGTAACACATACCTGACAGTCATGAGATTGCAGTCATTTTATCGTGGTAAACTGTATTCATCTGCCATCCAGAGTGATGACGTGTTATCACCAACATTGTGTTCATTTGGACAATGCATTTATTTTAATACTATTAAATAGGTAAATATATTTCAGATATAATTTTGAAATATTATCCTGTCTAATTGACCATATTATAATGTTCATCCTGGTATTTTCAAGTATTGAAAGGATTTTCTGAAAAATCACACCAATCCATATGATTTACGTGAGGCTATAACGCGCGTTATCTTATTCGACGTGTAAAGCATGCACATAACGTAGGTCAACGCGGCGCGAAATTGACGTCATATTATTAATCTTTTGACCTACTTCCTGTGTGAAACATGCAGTCGTTACTCTATCGTATGCCGTTCTAACATGACTTGTCTGTGGAAGATAACAGAAGTTGATTTGTATCAAATCCAGCATTTCAGATAAGGATAAAAAAAAACAGATATCTTCGAGGTCCTAATTTAGAAACGACTGATATCTTATCCAAAGTTCCTGTTTTAGACAACATTTTGATATTTTATCAAGCATTCCTGTTTTAAAAGACCGAGATAACAGACAGATATCATGTGTTCTTGATTCAGATGACAAACAGATATCCCAGACCGAGTTTCTTACCCACTTCGTCGGCCATCAGCAGAATCTTGACATCATAGCACAAGGGCTTTATTACGAACTCGACATGGATAATGACAGTGAAATAACTGGAAGCGACTTACAGCGATATTTCGAAAAGATCGACACAAACGGTAAGCTGTTCAACCCTTTTTATGTCACCAGAAATGCAACAATACATGAATTGATAATATGAAAGATATTTGCAATGTCATCATGCTCTTGACGGAAATGTTTAATTTTGTCTAAAAGTTTATGAATTTCAAACTTAAGTTTGTGTTATTCAACTCAGAATATATCATGCATACAATAAACTCTGTACGAGTTCATCATATTTCACTCCAGCTCATATCATCGAACCCCAACTGATATTGCCAACAAAATGCATAGGGGTACGGAACAGTTCTATTCAGCTTTAGAATTGGTATGAATAGTTCATACAAATTATATGTTGGTATATATGGGATTTCTTTCACTTTCTGTTAAAGATATACCATATACAACAACCACTCCTAGTGTTTACATAGTAACAAAATCATTAATAATAATAATAATAAACAATTAAAAAACGTATATACATAAACGTAATCAATTAGTATCACAAAAATTGATAAAAATTGCCGCACGCTTGAAATTCATAAAAATACCTTTAAAATTCATAAAACAAGTAACATATTTGAAATTAATAAATTATTAACATTTGAAATAATAATAAAAAAAAAATAAAATAATTAAAACTCATAGTAACACACATTAAATTCTCCAAACTGGTAGCACACCTAAAATTTGTGAAGAACTTAAAATTAAAGAAAAAACTCACATTACGCATTGAAATTTAGAATTCTAGTAGCTCACGTAAGATTCATAAAATCATTATTTATAAAACATGTATGAATCACACTTCTTATAAAACATGCATGACTCACACAACTTATAAAACATGCATGATTCACACAACTTATAAAACATGCATGACTCACACAACTTATAAAACATGTATGAATCACACAACTTATAAAACATGCATGACTCACACAACTTATAAAACATGCATGACTCACACAACTTATAAAACATGCATGACTCACACAACTTATAAAACATGCATGACTCACACAACTTAAAAAACATGCATGACTCACACAACTTATAAAACATGCATGACTCACACAACTTATAAAACATGCATGACTCACACAAGTTATAAAACATGTGTGACTCACACTTCTTATAAAACATGCATGACTCACACAACTTAAAAAACATGCATGACTCACACAACTTATAAAACATGCATGACTCACACAACTTATAAAACATGCATGAATCACACAACTTATAAAACATGTATGACTCACACAACTTATAAAACATGTGTGAATCACACAACTTATAAAACATGTATGAATAACACAACTTATAAAACATGCATGACTCACACAACTTATAAAACATGTATGACTCACACAACTTATAAAACATGTATGAATCACACAAGTTATAAAACATGCATGACTCACACAACTTATAAAACATGTATGACTCACACAACTTATAAAACATGCATGACTCACACAACTTATAAAACATGCATGACTCACACAACTTATAAAACATGTATGACTCACACAACTTATAAAACATGTGTGAATCACACAACTTATAAAACATGTATGAATAACACAACTTATAAAACATGCATGACTCACACAACTTATAAAACATGTATGACTCACACAACTTATAAAACATGTATGAATCACACAAGTTATAAAACATGCATGACTCACACAACTTATAAAACATGCATGACTCACACAACTTAAAAAACATGCATGACTCACGCAACTTAAAAAACATGTATGAATCACACAAGTTATAAAACATGCATGACTCACACAACTTATAAAACATGTATGAATCACACAAGTTATAAAACATGCATGACTCACACAACTTATAAAACATGCATGACTCACACAACTTATAAAACATGCATGACTCACACAACTTATAAAACATGTATGAATCACACAAGTTATAAAACATGCATGACTCACACAACTTATAAAACATGTGTGAATCACACAACTTATAAAACATGCATGACTCACACAACTTATAAAACATGTATGAATCACACAAGTTATAAAACATGCATGACTCACACAACTTATAAAACATGCATGACTCACACAACTTATAAAACATGTGTGACTCACACAACTTATAAAACATGTATGAATCACACAAGTTATAAAACATGCATGACTCACACAAGTTATAAAACATGTATGAATCACACAAGTTATAAAACATGCATGACTCACACAACTTATAAAACATGCATGACTCACACAACTTATAAAACATGCATGACTCACACAACTTATAAAACATGTATGAATCACACAAGTTATAAAACATGCATGACTCACACAACTTATAAAACATGTGTGAATCACACAACTTATAAAACATGCATGACTCACACAACTTATAAAACATGTATGAATCACACAAGTTATAAAACATGCATGACTCACACAACTTATAAAACATGCATGACTCACACAACTTATAAAACATGTGTGACTCACACAACTTATAAAACATGTATGAATCACACAAGTTATAAAACATGCATGACTCACACAAGTTATAAAACATGTATGAATCACACAAGTTATAAAACATGCATGACTCACACAACTTATAAAACATGTGTGACTCACACAACTTATAAAACATGTATGAATCACACAAGTTATAAAACATGTATGAATCACACAAGTTATAAAACATGCATGACTCACACAACTTATAAAACATGTGTGACTCACACAACTTATAAAACATGTATGAATCACACAACTTATAAAACATGTGTGACTCACACAACTTATAAAACATGTGTGACTCACACAACTTATAAAACATGCATGACTCACACAACTTATAAAACATGCATGACTCACACAACTTATAAAACATGCATGACTCACACAACTTATAAAACATGCATGACTCACACAACTTATAAAACATGCATGACTCACACAACTTAAAAAACATGCATGACTCACGCAACTTAAAAAACATGCATGACTCACACAACTTAAAAAACATGCATGACTCACACAACTTAAAAAACATGCATGACTCACACAACTTATAAAACATGCATGACTCACACAACTTATAAAACATGTATGACTCACACAACTTATAAAACATGCATGACTCACGCAACTTATAAAACATGCATGACTCACGCAACTTATAAACATGTATGACTCACACAACTTAAAAAACATGCATGACTCACACAACTTATAAAACATGCATGACTCACACAACTTATAAAACATGTATGACTCATACAACTTAAAAAACATGCATGACTCACACAACTTATAAAACATGTATGAATCACACAAGTTATAAAACATGTATGAATCACACAACTTATAAAACATGCATGACTCACACAACTTATAAAACATGCATGACTCACGCAACTTATAAACATGTATGAATCACACAACTTATAAAACATGCATGACTCACACAACTTATAAAACATGCATGAATCACACAACTTATAAAACATGCATGACTCACACAACTTATAAACATGTATGACTCACACAACTTAAAAAACATGCATGACTCACACAACTTATAAAACATGCATGACTCACACAACTTATAAAACATGCATGACTCACACAACTTATAAAACATGCATGACTCACGCAACTTATAAAACATGCATGACTCACGCAACTTATAAAACATGCATGACTCACACAACTTAAAAAACATGCATGACTCACACAACTTATAAAACATGCATGACTCACACAACTTATAAAACATGTATGAATCACACAACTTATAAAACATGTATGACTCACACAACTTATAAAACATGCATGACTCACACAACTTATAAAACATGTATGAATCACACAACTTATAAAACATGTATGACTCACACAACTTATAAAACATGTATGAATCACAACTAAAAAATATTTTTAATAAAAAGTATTAGGACATTATTACAAGCATTGCAATATTTTATAAATTTCTTTTATCGTCTACAGATGATAACTCCATTGAAAAGCCCGAGTTTGAAACTTTCTTCAGAGATGTAAGTAGAACATATCATCTTCTTATTATTTTCAGTGAATTAGTATCATTTACATTTCTGAATCATTTAATTAATCAATAGTATAAAGATGAATTCTTCAATATTTCATTTTCAACACGCCTCATCGACAAACCATAATCATGATAGACTGAAAACTTTTTTATATACTCATTCTGCTTGTTAAAACGTTATATAAGGTAGTCGATATTTCAAAAATATTGTTGTGAAACAATAAAATGTGAAACATATCTTAACCCATTTTAAATCAGTATAAGTACATTGCGTCACTTGGGAAAACATTTTTGATCAGTATAAGTACTTTGCGTCACTTGGGAAAACATTTTTAATCAGAATAAGTACATTGCGTTACTTGGGAAAACATTTTTAATCAGTATAAATATTTTGTATCACATGGAAAAAAATAAACTGTAACGTTTGTAAATGTTGTAATTTCTACAGTTATATTATGACCTGTATTTGACCGTGAAAATGATGTCCAGTTAATGACACTAAGTAATGCCTTTACGATGAAACCCATGTCTCTCGTGATATTGATAATTCTATGTGTTTTTTTTCTCTGTTATGACGACAACGATTTATTTTCTGTTATTTTTTTTTTGTAACTTCTTGTTTTATTTCTTTTATAGACCTTGACCCTCCTGTTTGTCCTCCAGTATGAGGGTCACTTGACCTCCCCCATGCCTACACATACGTGACGTCAGAACGCATAATCTGAATACATAATCGGACATCTGTGTAAAATGTCAATGCGCACAGCATATCTACAATAAGAACAAGAAAAATCACGATTTATTTTATTATTTATGGTGTCGAGTTTTACAACGCATTTGCACCTCAACTCTGTATAATTGTATGGGACTACATATTGTTATATATGTTGTGGGTAGTAGGTTTACAAATTACTTGTAGCCATGTGACCATAGTTGTGACGTCACAAATTTCATAATGACAACATTGACTTTCTTGTTTCGGTGATTTCAGTCAAATGCGTAGCTCAATACACATATACGATAACAAAGATATAACGCTGTATTTATCATACGAGTACAAAAACCTTGATGCAATGTATATATCCATTTCATACAAATGCAAAACATTAAAGATCAGAAACCAATATCTACTATACGTTTTTTAAACATTGAATATAACTTAGACTTGAAGTCCTTTTAATTTTTTTGTAAAAGTCTTTTGGCAAAATTAGTCTTATTTATCAATTTCCAACTTAAACAAGACATAAGGCTTGAGCATAAAATTCATGCTTGAACATGAGAACGGTTTCATGAATACGGGCCCAGGTGTTCCGGATGAGTAACCATCTTCTGCTTCATAGACGAAATCTACGATGTAAATGTCGTGGTCAATCCAAGTAAGTGATGTCATGTTCCCGAATAAGAACCCCGGTAAGAAAGCACAGAACCAACAGTTGAACTTACGTATTTGTCGAAATCTGTATTCTTGCATGTTGAGTTCAAATGTTGTAACTCAGTACCTACTGTGTAAGTTTCAAAGCATGTCACTAGTTTTTTACTACACGGGGAAATATGCACGAGTAGAGTTCGAAATAGGAATGAAATATTTTACTCCGCAACTATAAAACGAGCTCAAAACAAATCCGAAACTAAATGTAGCTCAACATTGATAACACGTGGTTCAAACATGAAATTAACTCAATATTTATCATACGAGTTCAAACCATGGCCATAACGTTTGACAATGATATCCTGGAAAAAAATTGAAGTCAAGTGCCTGAAGATTCATCCATTGTAGCCAATAGAGAGCTGATACACGGAGAGTGAAATTATAAGATAAACACTGACCATATAAGTTTTTATTTCTTAAGTTAAAACATGATCTTTTCCAATCAGATCATAATTATGACTATGATCCTTGCAGCCTTCACTAACCCTGCATTTCTCGAGGATGTGCGTCATGTTTCCCATAGTAGTGGATATCTATCAAGACCATCGTTGTATAAGGAATGATTATTTAAATGATCTATTAAAACGTAAGAGTAAGTTACGGATTTGTTAGCAAATATCATTAGTACTATAGTCTTACTGAAAATCATCCAATATCGGGTTTTAAGAAACATTTCATGGTTATGGAAGTATGACACCCTTTCTTTTCTTAGCAACCAGTATGGGGACTGTTGCGAACGTAAGCACGTCACCCCGAAATATTGTACATTAATAGTAATAAGCATTAGTTCAAACGATAACTATGCTTTAAAAAAGTGGAAATTATACCAATTTAGTGAAGTTGGTGAACATAGTACATTATTCTCGACAAGTGGTCTATTGACCAGACCAATGTGTTATTTAGTCCAAATCCGTTTACAATATGAAATGTATACATGTGTATGGACTTGCTCACGAATGTAAGTGACGAATCTTGCATAGATTTAAATACTTACTTCGACAGGTTCATGGCTGTCATTATACAGGCAAAAAGAATCTGGCGTAGTAAATATTTCTCTATTTTTTTTCTCTTGATGATGTATCCGAGACTACCAACCATTTTGATTGCCTCCTTATGAGGAAATAAAATCTTAGACTATCACAACACATACCTCAACGCCAGGGCTGCATGTGTAGTCATGCGCGCTGGTATCCCGTGACAGCCCACGAATTTATATGGAGTTTACATTCCCGTCGATCACAATACATCAATGTTGAGCTAACTGCGGGGAATGACGTGCGATGTTATAACATCAGTCCTCAGGTTGCTATGGAGATCCATAACTAAAATACTAGAATTTTTAACAACGAGATCGACACAGAACTCTTGAAGTGCTTGTTGTACATTCCTTTGCTAGAATTTACAGCAGTTTATAGCATTGTGATGATATAGATTACAGACATCACATGCACTTTTAAAACCTGAACGCAGTTCAAATGTTAGAGTTAATCGGTAGTTAGTGAAAAAATGAAATTGTTGCTGCTGAAATATATTAAAGGAAAATTTATCACTTAAATACTTAATTCTGACCCATCACAACAAAACTATTACTTAAATACATAATTCTGATCCATCACAACAAAACTATTACTTAAATACATAATTCTGATCCATCACAACAAAACTATCACTTAAAAATACATCTATCTGACCCATCACAACAAAACTATCACTTAAATACATCATTCTGACCCATCACAACAAAACTATCACTTAAATATATCATTCTGACCCGTCACAACAAAACTATCAATTAAAAATACATCATTCTGACCCATCACAACAAAACTATCACTTAAAAATACATCTATCTGACCCATCACAACAAAACTATCACTTAAAAATACATCTATCTGACCCTTCACAACAAAACTATCGCTTAAAAATACATCTATCTGACCCATCACAACAAAATTATCACTTAAAAATACATCTATCTGACCCATCACAACTAAACTATCACTTAAAAATACATCATTCTGACCCATCACAACAAAACTATCACTTAAAAATACATCTATCTGACCCATCACGACAAAACTTTCACTTAAATATATCATTCTGACCCATCACAACAAAACTATTACTTAAATATATCATTCTGACCCATCACAACAAAACTATCACTTAAATATAGCATTCTGACCCTTCACAACAAAACTATCACTTAAAAATACATCTATCTGACCCATCACAACAAAATTATCACTTAAAAATACATCTATCTGACCCATCACAACTAAACTATCACTTAAAAATACATCATTCTGACCCATCACAACAAAACTATCACTTAAAAATACATCTATCTGACCCATCACGACAAAACTTTCACTTAAATATATCATTCTGACCCATCACAACAAAACTATCACTTAAATATATCATTCTGATCCATCACGACAAAACTTTCACTTAAATATATCATTCTGACCCATCACAACAAAACTATTACTTAAATATATCATTCTGATCCATCACAACAAAACTATCACTTAAATATATCATTCTGATCCATCACGACAAAACTTTCACTTAAATATATCATTCTGACCCGTCACAACAAAACTTTCACTTAAATATATCATTCTGACCCATCACAACAAAACTATCACTTAAATATATCATTCTGATCCATCACAACAAAACTATCACTTAAATATATCATTCTGATCCATCACAACAAAACTATCACTTAAATATATCATTCTGATCCATCACAACAAAACTATCACTTAAATATATCATTCTGATCCATCACAACAAAACTATCTCTTAAATATATCATTCTGACCCATCACAACAAAACTTTCACTTAAATATATCATTCTGACCCGTCACGACAAAACTTTCGCTTAAATATATCATTCTGACCCATCACAACAAAACTATCACTTAAGTATGTCTATCTGACACATCACAACAAAACTATCACTTAAAAATATATCTATCTGACCCATCACAACAAAACTATTACTTAAATATATCATTCTGACCCATCACAACAAAACTATCACTTAAATATATCATTCTGACCCATCACAACAAAACTATCACTTAAATATATCTATCTGACCCGTCACAACAAAACTATCACTTAAATATATCTATCTGACCCGTCACAACAAAACTATCACTTAAATATATCATTCTGACCCATCACAACAAAACTATCACTTAAATATATCATTCTGATCCATCACGACAAAACTTTCACTTAAATATATCATTCTGACCCATCACAACAAAACTTTCACTTAAATATATCTATCTGACCCATCACGACAAAACTTTCACTTAAATATATCATTCTGACCCGTCACAACAAAACTATCACTTAAATATATCATTCTGACCCGTCACAACAAAACTATTACTTAAATACATAATTCTGATCCATCACAACAAAACTATTACTTAAATATATCATTCTGACCCATCACAACAAAACTATCGCTTAAATATATCATTCTGATCCATCACGACAAAACTTTCACTTAAATATATCATACTGACCCATCACAACAAAACTATTACTTAAATATATCATTCTGACCCATCACAACAAAACTATTACTTAAATATATCATACTGACCCATCACAACTATTACTTAAATATATCATTCTGACCCATCACAACAAAACTATTACTTAAATATATCATTCTGACCCATCACAACAAAACTATTACTTAAATATATCATTCTGACCCATCACAACAAAACTATCGCTTAAATATATCATTCTGACCCATCACAACAAAACTATCGCTTAAATATATCATTCTGACCCATCACAACAAAACTATCGCTTAAATATATCATTCTGACCCATCACAACAAAACTATTACTTAAATATATCATTCTGACCCGTCACAACAAAACTATCACTTAAATATATCATACTGACCCATCGCAACAAACTATAAACTGATACATAATGTTCTATATTTTGTTCGATCAACGTTTAAAAATATACACCGACCACTGTTATCTTTTATCAACCATTTGAACAACAGCGGCCCAGAGGCATCGTAAAATAATATGGCAATGCTCTACTCAAATGGATCCTAGAAATCTGTAGTAAACCTAACTTTAAGTTCCTTTTAGGGCCTCACAACGACCTTTTGTTAAAATTATAAATTCTTAGAAAATTTTGCCAAAAATCTGGAGTTGTAAACTCGTGTAAAATCTTCAGTATACATATATGGAGTTTGAAAGCACTTGTCTGGAACC